CTCCGTATGAGTGAAAAATTCTCGAAAGGGGCGTTAAACAACATACAATCAAACAATCAATCTTATTGAGAAAGATTCATTCAATGTAATTATGAATTACAATAATAATTGTTCAAACCAAAGCCTGTCATATCATAAATTTGCTATCTTTTTATTGTTTAAGTTTTTAATCAGAGAGAAAATTTCCAGGTTCAAAGAAGAAGTGGACTGAAGATGAAAAAGATTTTAAAACTATAAGTAATGAAGTGTTTGCAATAAAAAAAAACTCCTGTAAAAGCAGACATTGACAGACTGAAATAAAATACTTCTTGAATTTTTTTTAAAGAATTGAAATGGACCCAATTGAAACACTTAGTATGGGCCATGGCCAAACAGAAAGCAAGGAAATGCTCAAAGATCCTGCAACCTTAGCACTTTTTGCTTCATTTACTTGAAGACATTGAAGAAGATTTATGTTACTTCCTCCAAGCAAATTTTGTGGTGTGAATATGTAAAATTCGTTAAAATGCTACTCCTGTAGGTTGGTTCTGATTTACACAATTTTGCACAAAATAAACTATAATGAGCTACATGTACATATTTGTGTGTGTCACTGATAAATGGTGTTGCGTAGGTAAAGTAAAAAAATAATTTCTGTGATTTTTTTTTCGAAAGGGTATACCTCCAACAGCTTTAGTCTGATTATAATCAGTCTTGCCAAACAATTAACCTTAAACAAGGGTTTATAATTAGGTCTTTCCACCTTTCTGTGGAAAGACCTCTTGAAATGCTTCTGTTTATTATTATTTTATTTCTGGAGATGTTTTGAAACCGTTAGACTTATCGAAAAACTTAATAGTTCATGATATTGGATATTAAAAGTTATTCCGAAAATTGACCCCCCATATTTGATCTTTGACCCCTTTCAAAGTTATTGCCCCTTTCGCAAGAAATGCTTGTTATCACTACTCCTCAGAAACCGTAAACCATAGAGGTATGAAACCTTCACCAATGTCTTCAACTAATTAAGGGGACTTTTCAATCTATTCATTGCGAAAGTATTCGATGACCCCTTCAATGAGTTATTGCCCCTGAAACTTTTTGAATATTATAAATAATTAAAAATTTTCAAAACGAGAAGTCGTAGAATCATGAAACCAACTGCTTAAGATTCAATGACCTTTGACCTTTAAAATTATGTAAAGGTCAAAGGTCATGGTCATTCCAAAAATGAGAAATTTAGCTCTTTTTATATCTCTTTTGTCTTTCAACATATACTTAATGTCTATGCATCATTCATATGTACTCTTGAAACTGTTTCAAAGATTTCATTCTTGTCCCCTAACATTAACCCTATTAAAAGTTATTGCCCTTTGTGCGAAAAACCTTGTTATCGCTACTCCTCTGAAACCGAAGATCGTAGGGACACCAAACCTTCACTAATGTCTTAAGGGTCTTTAATCCTAACTTCACTGTAAAAGTGCGAAAAGGTCTGATGACCCCTTATATGAGTTATTGCCCTTTAACTTTTTTGTACTTACTGTTAAACCTTATAACTTCAGAACTAAAAGTCGGAGAGGCATGGGGTCAATTGCAATGTGACCCCTAACCTTTGACCTTGAAAATTTATTCAAGGTCAAAGGTCAACGTCATTTCAAATTTTAGAATTTTCATTTTTTTTTTACATCTTTGTATCTTTTAAGCCATTTTTCTTTTTTGTGGCGTTTAAGGAGTTAGATATAAAACAAAACAGAAATTCAGAGAAGGTGAAAAGACCTCTTATTGTTCTGTGAACAATAAGTCTCCTAGTTTTATTTATTGTTGTCTTAGTTTTAAGTGCGTCATTTGTGATAAGTACAAACCAGTAGAGCTACAGTCTCATCAGAGACTTCTGGTTCATTACATGGTTTGCGTTTCATTGATTCATTTCCGTTCTTGAACGCCTCGCTAGACACTTTACTCCAGTAAAGAAAGGGGGTCCAAATTCCAAAATCTATACAAACATTTTCCCATACAGAGCCAAAGAGACCTCTGTTTGAGAAGGAGTGTGTATCCCTATGACTACATGTCCTCTTGTAACTGTTTTAATGACCAAGAGCTGTCTCTTATTACAACATTTTACAATCGATTGTCTGAATCCGATATATCAGATAAGGACTACACTCATGCAATGAATGTATGGCAAACCTTTGACATGTGGATCCAGTAAGGGAGATAATCGTGATTTATACTTAAAAACTGTCATCCTGTTGTTGTAAGACGTCTTTGAAAAATTTAGAGATTTGCTTGTGTTTGACTTCTTATCACTTAGACCCAGCTCATTTTTACACGTCTCCGGTCTAGCCTGGGAGGCCTAGTCAAACTACAATTGACATGATCTTAATGATTAAACAGGGTATTAGATGGGGGTGTCTATGATCTCCAAGAAATATGCCAAGGCTAGCAATCCCGTGGTCTCTGATTATGATCCATGCAAACCCAATACTTGGCTAACCTGTTTAGATTTGAACAATCTGTATGGGACGAGTATGTCAATGCCTCTTCCCCAGAAAGACTTTGCTTGGTGCATTTCAGAACAATTGGAGACAATGACGTCATATATATGCCAGACGATTCTGAAACTGAATATATTTTGGAGGTTGACTTGGAATATCCAGATAATCTACATGATGATCACAGTGATTATCCCTTAGCCCCTGAGAACAAGACAATTACACAAGAAATGTTATCTCCTCATACTCTTATGCTCAAAGAGAAATTAGCATTGAAAGGAAACTACTCTTAGCGTGTTCCAGATCTCAGTGCAAAGAAAAAAGTATATTTTGCATTATCGAAATTTGAAATACACACATGTATTAACTGCCTAAGGAACTCAAACTGACAAAAATCCACAGTTTTAGAATTACAGTCTTCTTGGTTAAAGTCCTACATAGATTTTAACACACAAAAGAGATCCGATCGCAAGCTACATCTGATTGAGAAATTTTTTTACAAATTAATGAATAATTCGGTCTTTGGGAAAACCATAGAAAACATGAGAAAGAGAGTATATGTGGTACATACTATACGGAGATTAAGTAAGGTGTGCGCAAAACCAATCTTTCAGTGCTTCAAGATCTTTAAGGAAGATTTGGTGGCAGTAAACCTTAGAAAATAAACATTGTTCGCAATCGACTTATTTAAGAAGGGTTCTGTATACTCGACCTCGCTAAGCTGCTCACTGGGTGAAAAAAGTGGTTTCCCATCTCGGGAAACTTTATGGAAACCACATGGAAACCTCAAGTTTACATCATGTTTCCCAGTGGTTTCCGTAGCGGATGCTAGGTTATTCCGCCAAGTTTCCGTGACACGGAAACCCCCTACGCTCCGATTCCATAAGGTATCCCGAACCACGGAAACCTCTGTAAACCTGAAGTTTCCCGAATATCCATGTAGTTTCCCGTAATGGGAAACCTGAAGATTCCACTGGTTTCCAGAATCAGGAAACTTGATGGAATCGGAGCGTAGGGGGTTTCCGTGGAATGGAAACTTGGTGGAATCTTTAGGTTTCCTTTTACGGGAAACTACATGGAAGCTCGGGAAACCTCATGATTCCTAAAGTTTCCATGACTCAGGAAACCATATGGAATCGGAGCGTAGTGGTTTCCGTGGAATGGAAACTTGATGGAATCTTTAGGTTTCCTTATACGGGAAACTACATGGAAGCTCGGGAAACCTCACGATTCCTAAAGTTTCCTTGATTCAGGAAACCATATGGAATATGAGCGTAGTGGTTTCCGTGGAATGGAAACTTGATGGAATCTTAAGGTTTTCTTTTATGGGAAACTACATGGAAGCTCGTGAAACCTTATGATTCCTGAAGTTTCCTTGACTCAGGAAACTATATGGAACTTGTGTAGCACTTTCTGTGTGGCAGAAACTTGGTGGAATTATGTGGAGTCCCATTCCTGTGGGAAATTACTGGGAAACTTCAAGATTCCCTAACTTTTCTAAAGGAAGCAATGTGAAATAATGCGTATTCTTTTAAAAATCTATCAAAAAAATTTATTACATGTAAAAGAAAAAAGCATTACCATTTTATATGTTTAATAATTCATATGATGTACAAAAACTGTAACTGAATTTTTCAATGATATCAAAATATTAAATAAATTCATATATCTTAGATAAACAATGGAACAGTCTTTCACATTTAAGTCCATTCATAAGGGTCATTAAGTACTTCTTTCAACATCAGTTTCCTGGTTTTCTTCACATCACCTATGATCTGCAATATTCATACAAAATTATTATATGATGTCAGAATTATAATGTTTGAATATAACTTAAAAATCTGAAAGATCAGTCAATGTCCTTTAATATACCAATATCAATAATTACTTTCCAAGACCATGTTACATATGACTTCAGCATTTTATGTATCTCTTTAATATTTAATGCTTTATGATAAGTGAAAAAAAATAACATAATATAAATAATGTTTTCAGCCTTATTATGTCATTGAGAATATATTACTACATGTATCTCATACTAAGAACCCTGCTTTAAGTTTGATTAGTTTGAGAGAAAACATACTGTATACAGGGTTATTTTCGCCCCGTCTTATTTTCACCCTTTCACACTTGCGAACAATTTTGCCCCGTTTTAAATTCGTCCAGTCATAGTTATTGTTAACGAAATATTACTGTATTCTTTGAACTCGCCCCGTTTTAAATTCGCCCATATGAGGGTAGGGCGAAAGTGGCAAAAATAAAACGGGGGCGAAAATTTCCCTGTATACAGTATCCTTTATAATAACAAAAATATTAGGGAGAGATTTTTTTTTTAAATATTGATATTCGACCTAGAAATTGGTTGAAGATCATTGCAGACCCTCCACCCCATTGCACAAAAGCTAGATTACACCAGGGGAGAAATACACTTTAGACTACGATTTTAAAAAAAAGATATAAAGTAGATTTTGATACTGACCTTTAATCTAGAAAATTAGTCCAAGGTCACTCTTCATCCTCTTTCCACAGGCTCTCTGTAGTTTAAGTTTGAGAGAGAAATATGCACAGAACAAGTGATTTCAGATGGAGTGATGGGTAGACACTGTCTAAGGGCATCCACAGAACAGGACCTAAAAATAATGCAATATATATGTTTTACAGTATATATACACATGTACTTGTCTGTTAATGATTTATCATATGCTGCATTGGACACATATGATTTTATCATGGTTTAAGTATACATGTATCTTATGAGTAATTTTATACCGGTATTGCATGTACGCTCAGTTTATTTAAGAAATAAATAACAAGTTTATAAACTTCAGTGGGAGAGATACTACAAATGTATATCAAAACAAGTAATTTATTTTTTTTTTTTACATATATTGACCAACATTATTTACATCCATCCATCATGTTCATGAATTGGCTGATCAAAATTCAGTCAGTTTTAGATCTATATGATATACCACAAAGGACTTTCACATTTACAAAAGTTATTCCCCTTTGCAGGGTCGATCTGGGGTCAACCGGCTTAAGACGCTGTTTTCCCTCTTTAACCGTATCAACTTTGAGGGACAATATCTTAGAAATAAAATCTGTATAAACATATTCATTATGACTTTCATGTTGCCCCATACTCTGGCAATACAGATACAGATCGTAATTGTCCAATATTTTTGAAGATTGAAAATATTAACAAGTAACTTACAAAGGACAAAGTGGGGAAAATGAGCGATGCGCCGACAATTGGAGGAAACTCTTAGGAATGTGAAATTCGTCTATTGGTGATGACAATTCCTGTTTTAATGTCACTGAAAAATTAAGAGAAATTAAAAATTTAAGCCCTATTGTCATACACACATGCTGTTTTTTCATAAATATAACCTTTTAGTATCATAAAATTTACCAAAATTTAATACTTCAAATAATTTCATTGAATATCTATAAAATAAAGGAAACTCTAAAAACTTAGTGACTTGCAGAAATTATTCCTTGAAGAGAAAAAAATCTATCATATTTCATATTAATATGTGCATAATGAGCCTTTTTTATTCATTTAGAACATATAGTATGTGCCTCATTTCCCTAAGAAATTTTCAAAGACAATGGACTATGACTGTAAGCAGAAATCATTGCTGTTTATACTTACATTGGAAAATTTATGAAAATAATTATTTTTTTTTTAAATAATGCCAAAAATAATTTAATCTATTAAAAATAATCTAACTGACTGTAAAATAACATTTTTCATAATCTTAATCTATGGGCAGATCACTTTAACTTCATAAAACTACCTGATAATAAAGTAGAACTCTTTAGTGTGCAGGTTTTAGAGCTTCCTTTAAGTAATCAAAATACTGACCAGCAAAAATCTGTTAATAAGCATTTCCTGTTTTTCATTCAAATTTTTGTAGAGATCTCAGAGTTTTTTCCTGTTCAATTCAGGTTCAAGACGACAAAGTTTTATTGAAGTGTGTGTATTAGAGAACTGATTGTATGTCAATCATAGCAATACACACATAACATGGGGGGGGGGGGATTGTTTCAGCCCTAGCTTTTACATAAAACTTCTTGTAGCTCACAGCTGATATACCACAGTTCAGTATTTAAATAAAATTTAGAATCTTTTTTTTTTCAGGCAATTGTCATATACATACTGATCATGAATGAATAACCACTTACCAAATGACCACATCCTGAATCATCATACATTTTCTACAATTTTATCTCACTGGTTTTCTTTTAAAGTCACACAGTTTTCTTCTTTCTGAAATGATAAATTATGTCCAGGCACTATTGCATTCTAATTTTAACTAATTAGGTAATAGCATTAGCAACAACCGGGATGGAAGAAAAAAATAACCAGAAGTCTCTGTCGGGACTGTAGCTCTACTGGTTTGTACTTATCAAAAACTGATGCACAGAATTATGTATCTTAGTATAGTCTACTTGTGTGCCAAGTTATATTGAAATCAGACTAAAATTTAAGGAGGAGTAGTGTTTGCAGACAGACAGACGGACAGCTGGACAGATGGACGGACGCATTACTATCGCATAAGCTCTTCTGGTTTCTGACAGGTAGAGCTAAAAACAAGATGCACTTGTGAAACACAGCAACAAAGTTCGAAAATGCAATTTTTTTAGCATACTGTTACAGGTCACTGTCAAGATCACATAATCATTGCCCTTGTTGCCATTTGAAAGCACTTCATTAGTTGAGTATGCATACTAAATATGAAGCCACTATCTTGTATAGTTCTAAAGTTATGGTGAAGGTTTAAGTTGACCACAGACACTCAGACAGACACACAGATATACAGTTATCATCTATACACTTAACAATTTAAAACTTAGGTATCCAACTTTTCAAAATGGCGTCAGAACAAAAGTTGCCTCCGATAGTGAAGATTTGTTGTTGCCAAATATTACAACTATTTACCGTAAAAAGTTAACAAAAATATGCGTACACTAATCCTTCATAGTTGGCCATTGCATTTATCACAGTCTTAAAGACACTGGGTGGTGAAACCATCTTTACTTTTCACATTTACCAGCTGCTTACACCTTCTTCTTCGTCCTTCTCGATCCTCCAAAAATGGCGCCTCGGGAAATTGACCAATGAAATAAACCGCCTACAGAGCGATGCAGGATGGGAAATATAAACTGTTGAGATCTTATATTAGAATTTAATTAAGTTTTCCCCTTTTCATGGAATAAAAAGAGGGGCTCCTAAATATTTTTGCCGATATGATGTGTAGGCGTAGTATACTTAGAAAAAAAAGCGGTTAAATACATGAGGCAAGAGCAGAAAAAAATGTTTCTTGCTCAACACCTCAACTTATTTGCCTTCGGGATATAGGTTTCGGGGCTTGGTTGTTTTTAGTGGCCGTCCTTGCTGAAAGCACCCCCCTCTCCCCGCTTCTTTTATAATGTCACACTAAAAGATGTTAAATTTTTAAAAGCAAATTTTTTTTTATTGTGAACTTTCCACAGGAATCCTAAAAGGCATGAAAATGAGCTACAATAATATTATAATATGATTATTAAGAACATTTTCTTTTTATTTCAATAGTGATGATTGAAAAGTTCGGTGATTAATAATTCATTGCTAATAAATTGTTGTGTTTTTTTTGGGGGGGGGGGGGAGAGATTAAATTACTAATTGAACTCCCTCCTTTTCGGGGTTTAATTTGATTTTGAGCCTGCTATCAATATTACTGGTGGACCTGCTAGACTTTTCTCTAATTGCTACATGTACATTGTACTTTAAACTCCTTGGCTTTTAGCTAAAAAAATTTCACACATCATTTTAACACGTAAAATTGTTTTAAAAATGAATCAGAATATGTTGAAAACCTTTTTCTTAGGAGAGTTATATCTCTAGATGGAACAAAACTAACATCTTATCAAAGGCAGGAAAATATAACAGTATTTTAATTCAGTATTTTAGTCGAGATTGGTATAAGTGAAGTCATGGGAAAGATTATGTCGAAAGTCATCTATACTCGTTGATGTGCAGGGATGTACTTATGCACACAGCTTTAGCTGCTGGTCCCGCCCTTATTCTTTAATGTTTTTTTTTTTTCGTTAAGAAATCTGGTAAGGTATGCTAAATAAATAAAAATAAATCCCGGTTAGTTTATTACTCTAACGGAAATTACTTTCCTACAGGCCTGAAGATCAAGTCTATTAGTCACGCAAGTTTTTTTTTAAAGAGTAGCATGTCAGCGAATAAAAATAAAGTAGTGTTCAACATAGATAAAGAAATGTTTGTTGAAGTATTGACAAACTTCATACCTTTATAGAATGAAATCAACAAAAAGTGCACAAAATACAATCGTGACAAATATACAATGAATTAATTATACAATTAATTCTTTTAATAGATTGCCTTATCATGCACTACTTTAAAATCCATTGTTCTTAAGGAAAACAAAATCATGCAAAATATTATAGACTTTTCTTTATATAAAGCAATGGCCTTTGGAAAAAAAAAAATGGCTGAAAATTTTAAAGTTTGTTAAATATAATGTATGTGCATTTAGGACCCTACATTGTAATTTCATGCGAAAAGTGCAGGCGTTAACTACACGGGGATCTGCGTACATATTTAAACAAAAAAAGGAAAGACAAAAAAAAAAAACAAAAAAAAAAAACGTTTTATGTGATGAATTATATTATAAACATTTATCTAATAAATGTCTTTGTAGTACGTTAGATTACAAATTTCACACAAAAACCCATCAACAATATTAAATACAGTTTTGATTTCACATTGATCTATTAACGTCATTCTGATTTAATATAATTATACACGACGAGAATTAAGATCTATTCAATACCTATAGAAAAATATTTAATTTCTGATAGTTTTATTTTAAATCAGTAATGAAAATTGAAATAAAAATTCTAAATAATTTGTTCTTTCATTGAACTTCTTAAATGTAGGTTATTTTATAAATATGTTTTCTTGTATAACTTTATTTATGGAATATACAATTTTTTAAATGATAAAAGAAACACGAATCATCATCTTAATTTAAAAGAATTTTCGGTCGGAGACTGTGTGTGTACATGCTCGACGACAGCCCATTGTTCCCTTTAGGTACAAAACCGTCTCAATTCACATAGAATATACAAAAAATACACAGTGACAGGTGTCTTCGCGGCACGTGTCTCCACCTGAAATGGCACGTGAGGACAGGTGTCCCTAATTACACAGGCCGACCAAAGTGACTTTTTCAAAAGCTTTTTTTTTTTGGGGGGGGGGGGGGGGCTTCTCAAGGAAAAAATGAAAAGCAACCCACCCACCCCCAATAATAAAAATAATAATTTTATAAATTAAAAAAAACAATATTCACTATTAATAGTAAAATACTAGTATGATAATACTCAACCCCCAGCCAATTCGATGAATGATTCTTATCTGACCAGTTTATATTATTAATATATTAATTCATATTAAAACAAAATCCTTATCACTTTCTAAACTTGTATTTAAAAACTTGAAACACTAAAAATGTAATTTTGACAAACCAACTGAAGTATTTTTTTCCTGACGGATTACGCCGGTATATAAGAAATGCCAACCTCTGGTATCTAACACAAATGCCTGGTACGGTACCTTGATGTCTTGTGAATACATGTAATTATGTAAAAATAATTCTTCAATGTCAGTTGCAAAATACTGGAAAAAAATTATTTTATTGAGGAACGTCTCACCTGTCCTTAATCAGTAATCGTAACTTGACATATTTCTTTATTTACTTTTTAATCGATCTTTTTAGTAAACCTTTTCTGTAAATAATTTCATGAAATGTACCCTTCCTTAGCTCTTCCATTTTTTCAAAGGAACATTCATCATAGACAGCTTCAAGAAAGTGGGATCGGAAATGATTGATTTCTACATAATTGCATGCACTTACTTTTTTCTATTCCACTTCACGCATTCAATACGAGTTTACCAAAACTTATGTGATAAATCAAATTCAAAATTAAATTAAATTAAATAAAATTCAGTAAAATAAAATAAAATTAAAATTGAATTGCGTTCACGGTGCTGAAATATTAAATTAATCAAACAGAAATACACATCTAGTTATTTTAACTGTTTGAAGTTAATTATTTTGATACAGCATGTAAACACTTTTGAAATATTTCTATCATTGGTAAAAATATGGTAACATAATTAAATATTTAACTTTTTGTAAAATAAAAGGTAGGTGGGTTAGTATTGAGATATACTTTCAAAGTTTCCCTTCCTGGGAAACATGGGAAAAACTACAAATTGGTGGCTTCCATGTCGGGAATCTGTATGGAAACCACTAAGGCATGTTTCCATGGTTTCCTATCTTGGGAAACTTACGGGAAACCACAGGTTGGTTGTTTCCATATCGGGAATCTACATGGAAACCACCGGGGCATGTTTCCATGGTTTCCTATCTTGGGAAACTTACGGGAAACCACAGGTTGATTGTTTCCATATCGGGAATCTATGTGGAAACCACCGGGGTATGTTTCCATGGTTTCCTATCTTGGGAAACTTACGGGAAACCACAGGTTGATTGTTTCCATGTCGGGAATCTATGTGGAAACCACTATGTGGTTTCCATAAAATGGAAACTATATGGAAACTACTGATGTCACGATTCCCATATGTTTCCATCGGGTTTCCAAATTTGGGAAACCTGGCTTTTCATCCTGTGGCTCATGTTTCAGTTTCATTATGAATTTGTGAAATTTACCTTTTGGGATCAGGCAAGTCTTCTATTTACGGACATTGATAGCCTTTGTTATGAATTCGAAATACAAGCAGACGATATTTCTCAAGATATATTTAAACATCATCTGTCCCTCTTCCCTTTGATATCTTAAGTCTCAAGTAATTTTGACAAAGACCACTATCTCTATTCCAAAGCATATTGTTTAGTTCTGGGAAAAATGAAAGATGAATGTTGTGGAACACCAATTTAAGAAATCATTGGCCTAAATTCTAAAATGTACAGCTTGTTATATGATGGAAAAGAAAAGAAAACCGCAAAGGGTGTGAAGAAGTCACTTGAAACACGGATCCTACTAACGATCATTGCTCCACGAGGCATTCAATAATGTGATCAAAAGTTTTAATCATCGATTGCACTCTGTTTCAATACATAAAACAACTTTAAGTCCTTATGAAGTCCTAATGATGATAAACGTTATGTACTCGACGCCGGCATACACACCTTAGCCCGTGGTCATTATTCAATCAGAAAAAAGAGC